CTCTCTCTCTCTCTCTCTCTCTCTCTCTCTCTCTCTCTCTCTCTCTCTCTCTCTCTCGTTACTCCTTGATGGAATTCTCAAACGCGGTCGACGATCGATCATACATTTGCAAAAATCGGGATAAAACGTCCTCTTTCGATCGGGAATACTCGTAGCCAATTCTTCGAGCGTCAACAATCGTAAATTATTGAAGGGGACAATACACGAAACTTTGAACAAAGAGAGAGTAAGGATAGGCTTTGAGAGCAGAAGGTCGAATCAATTGATTCCTCCCAAAGAGGAATAAGTCTCGATCTTGCGGTTCTCACTGTAACTTGCCGTTAAGGGTATCGTTATTGGTAACGATGATATACAGAAGGAGAAAGTTAGTGGTCACGAGAGGAAATTTGACGAAAGGGGTTGACGAAGAAGAATTCGAAAGCGACGAGACAAAGGCCGATGACATCTACCGACTGCCTACTTTCCATTCTTCCCTTGTTGTCCCATTCCACGGGAAGATCACGGGCTTATTACCTCATGAATATGTATAGAAGAGATCGCTCTTAGGTCCGTGCGAGGCGGAGATGCTTGGACGTGTTCGGGGTTGAAGAAGATATAGAGGGGTCCAGGGGTTAGAGAACGGATAGGAATGACCGCGAACGAGACACTGAGAAATTAACGAGTCACCGGCCCCCGGAAATTACACGCGGGAATAAACAGAGTATTTGCGGAACAGCTGCGGTAACGTGAGAATTGGTCATCTTTCGAGATGCAAATCGTGGAAATATTCGTGGATGGCAATTGGCGCATGAGATGTTTCGTTGATTTTCTCGATAATAATTATATATGTTTTGATAGTTTATGATTCAGTGAATCGGAAATAATGTACAAATGTATTCTTTCAAAATATAAAATGAAATCTTTATATGCGTATAGAAATTTTGCTGTATTCAATCTGTCTTTTATTTTTCGAGTGTTATAATTCATTATTTTATATGTGTTTTAGGTAGATAATAGTTATAATAAATTTTCTATGTGATTTTTTTAGAGTTTTCATTTTCTCGTCTTAACATATGATATTATCATAATATTATATATATATATCTTTGTGTATAATTCTATAAATAATATTGAATTAATTAATTAGATCACATAATGTGTTTGATTACATAATATCCGATTAAAATGGAATCTATTATATATCATATATATGCATCATATCAGTTCGATATATATCGACTAAAATAATGTATAAAAAAATAACATAAAAAAATAACATATCTATGTATAATAAAAAAATAATATATAAAAATCTATTATTTCCACTATGTGATATTATATTTATATAGTAACTTTGATAATAATGAATAAATGTATACAGATATGTTTTATTATTTGAAATCATAAATATTTTTCCATTTAAATTCAACTTTAGTTAGTTAACAATAGTTTTTTATAAATTTTAATTGTAAATTATAAAAGTTATCTATTAAACATAAATTCAAATATTAATAAACACAGTTAAAGTTGTATAATTATAATTCTATATCTATCTAATATATTTTTCATATGAATATATTTGCCATCGAATTTTAAAGAAAATAAAAAATATCATTTAAAGTGAATTTCTAAACATTTGCAATTACATGCATTGATATTTTTTTCTCTTAATTCTTTTCTGCTTGTTTTTTTCTTTCAAACATAAAATTTTCGCTTCGATATCTGATAAAATGTAACTAATTCATGACACCCTTGAAGATAGCATTGAAACTGCCTGCGGCAATCATTATATGTCTGGAAGAAATTTCATGAAATACTTCCTCGATAAAACTTCAAGATATTTCCAATGAGGAGGAGAGCTTCATAGAAATACGTCATAGAGAGCTTTAAAAAACAGAAAAAGAAAATTAAATAAATACTATTATGTATTTATTTAATCTTATTAAAGAATTAAAGACAAAAAGATATTAAATTATTTACAAGTGCCTTAAAATAGTTTATTGTAAACTTTTATTATTTTCTATAAAGCTTTTTTTTTTTGCTTCTTAATTATTAAAACTTCTGGCTATTTTGAAAGATTGCAATCGACAAGAAATTTGATGATAGAGAAGACAGAATAGATTTTAAATTTAAAATTTTAGCTTCAGATATTTATTAGTTTAAGATATTAATAATAAAAAATTTTTGAAATGCGTATATAAATGTTACTAATGCATCTAATGCTACCTATCCAAATGTTAATATAACAATTTTTATAGTAGCCATTACTAAATGAATAATCATGAAAATCGAATAATAATATACTAAAGAAATTTCGTAATTACATTGGTTTTAATATTTATAGCTTCTCAAAAATCTGATCAAAAAATTAAATGTATTTTTCTTATTAAATACCAAATATCATGTTCTTCAAAAATCATATATTATATACATAACTAAATACAAGCGAGAATTAAAAATCAATTCACAAGTAATAGCAATAGATATGCAGATCTCCGTTATTTTGAACATTTTTCGAATAAAAATGATTCCAAAATGAATATTGTATTATATTAAAGTTTAAAAGCGATACTCTCATGACCATATTGCTATATTTTGCCTCTATATAGAAATAATTGAAAATTTTATATGAAACATTTTATAGATATAGAGATCATCTATTAGATGATAATAATAATTTCTACAACAAAAAGATATTAATCATAGATAAAATTCAGTATATAGCAAAGTTTTTCACTTTTCATTCTTATTTCGGAAACTGATAAGTAAAAACCAAAATTTTATTTGATTTTTATTTGGAATCTATCCTTCCATCTTTCATCCCTCAAAATTTCATATTGATCGAAATTTCTCAGAACTTTATCCAAGTAGATGTGTAATATAGTTTATCACTAAGAAAAAACTTCTAAAATAAAAGAAATTCTTCTTTAAAAAATTAATATTATTAAATGATTTAATTATATGCAGCTTTTTTCTTGAACAATTGAGTTTTCAATTTTCATTAAAAGTTTGGTCATTAACGCTATAGTAAATTATATATTATCTATATTTTAATTACATATTACTCTATAGTGATGATAAATTAGAAAGTTTCGTTAAACCAATTCTTAATAAACGAAATTTATCGCGAAACGTAAATCGTATCTTTCCTAGGACCATCTAAAGAAACTTTTATCTTGTTTCCAACAGCATAGTACCGTGTCGTAAGCTCTTTATTCTATGAATACAAAGATGTCGATAACGTCTGTTATCGTCGGTCGTCTAAGAAAGGGAAGTTGAACGTCACTGGCCAGATTGACTTTTTCCTCCCGCTTTCCTCGATAGTTCCTTTAAACTTCCCACCAAGTTTTCAAATAACTTTTCTCTAATGCTAGAAAATCGTCTCAAGAACGATGACGCAAGAATCTTCGTGATATCGTCATGAAAATGTCCGATTTCGTTAAGAATAATTCGTAAATTCTCTTCATCGATTGGCATTTTCTTTCATTTTTTTTTTTAATTTTTCTCTTTCATACCTATCCAGTAATCAATATAGCTACGTGAACAATGAAAGATTGAAGAAAAAAATGAAAAACGAACGTTTGTACGAATTCCAATTTTGAAAACTATTTTTAAAACTATTTTTAAAAAGTTATGTATATTTTTATTCAACGTATTTTTATATGATATATTTCTTTTAGAATAAATCTATACGTATATTATAACTTTATACATATAATTACATCATTGAAATTTTTAATGATTTACGAATTTATAAATTCTCTTAAAAACTTATAATTCTTTTCTAATAATTTCGTGTTAATTAAATGAACAACATTTACAAAATATTGTTTCGAGAATTGTCAAATAGTATTTAAAAAATATTATAAGCGCATATTCCGGAATATTTATTATTATAATTTACAAAATAATATTTTGAACTACAAACTAATAATTAGGAAACATTGTAAATAAATATTTAAAAAAAAAATAATATTTCGAGAATAATAAATTTAAATATAAATTAAAAATGTATGCTGCAATTTTTAATTTATTAAAATTGTATTTAAATTTGTATGCTGCATAAAATCAACAAGAATAAATAATATATATAATATATATAAAATTTTTTATTAACACAATATTAAAAGTATAAAAACATTGATAAAAGAGCATATATACATATATATTGTTTGTACATTTCTATTTTATTTTTAGTTTATTATATAATATATATGTTTGTGCCTACGATAGTGTTGCTTGTGACGAAAGCTCGTTAGATATATGTATGCGTATGTGTCGAATACTTCTTTATTGAGATGTAGAATTTATGCGTATAGAAGCTGATGTTTGTTACCATGAAGTATTTTCTTAAATGGACTATATATTACAGTACGCATGTTTATATGAGAGTTGGACTTTCATAATGTCACAGTAGATCGTGTTTGTTGGTGAGAGCACGATGCGTAGTTGCAAAGAAACTATGTATTTGTCGTATTCAACGTGTTCGCAACGAGCGTTAATTAAATTCTTTTCACATTTTACTGAGGGCAACCTTTAGAAATCCTTTCCAAGTTCAATTGAGAAGATCACGCGTTTCTGATGAAATACAATAATATCACGGTCAATGTTTGCGCGATATTATTGCCAAGTTAGAGGAAAATTCCTCGAATTGAGTTTATGATCGCCATAAAGATATCATCCTTGGAATCGTGTTGCGCTTCAGCAGACTGAAGTATGTCAAACATATGCGATTGTAAGTGTCGAATACTTCTCAAAAGGTAATTTTCTCAGACAATTTCTTTGTTTAAGCTTTATGAAGGCGATCTATAGTAAAAAAAAAAAAAAAAAAAAGAAAAAGGTTTCCTTCGAGGAACTTCTTCGAATAAATTGATCATAAATGTTCGCGAATAATTAGCTTTATTTTCTAATAATATATTAATCATTTCTACAATAATATTTTTTCTACAAACAATTGTCTCATCATATTTTCTATAATTTTAATTTTCTCGAATTTAATTTTTAAAATTAATTATTTTTTGTGGATTGGTTCAAATTTTGCTAGAATAAGAGTAGAATAAGGTAATTTCTCAGCCCATCCATCTCTTACTTTCGATACTGAAGCGCAGCGAATGGACAAATTCATGAATTTTATTCGTTCTCCGGTGAAATTTCCCATTTGCGTAAAACGTGTAATTTATTCTCTCTCAAAAGGATATTTCCGTCTCGTTTAGCGTTTGAATC